ATATAGAGGGTGAAAGAGAGAATGGCGGCGCCGTTCGTTGTTCATCATGTGGAACGAATCTTATTCCTCACAATTTTTTTTCTCGCTTTCTCTTCTCATTGGCAATGCTGATGCGTTTTTTTTTTTCTCTCTCTCTCTCAGACATATCATCAAGCAGCCATACCCACCCTACATTAACCTATAGAGAGAAAAGTGCTTACACACACACTCTCACATACTCACTCAAACATTCGGTCATGCAACGATCCACATATATACAGAAAATGACGTAAAGCTTTTGGCTGCCTAGTAAGAGATTAGACATGTAAAACCTTGATAATACATGCAGTAATGATAGACAACTCAATTAGATCAATAAATCGACATCGTCAGTTGAGTGAGAAATAAAAAAAAAGAAGCGAAGACAAAAAAAAAAAAAGAAAGATATGAATCAAGAAAAGAAAACAAAATTAAACGTCATGCATCTACTTGTGATGAACGTTAAACAAGAGAAAAAAAAGAACGTATAATGAAGTGAAGTATAATGCATCTTATATTACTCTAGTACATCGGTTGTTATTTGCCATGAACCAACAATGCGCAAAAGCGAGACGACAAGAAATGGTATTGAGCGAAAAGGTGATCCGCTCTAGTCCGTCATTCATCCATCTCATTCTTTTCTTTTTTTTCTCTTTTTTTATGTACGTATTACTCGCCCTATTGGCTTTAGTTCACTATTATGCTGATGAAATCATGTGCTGCTCTATACATTCTTTGCGTTCGTAGAGCCTATAAATATGTATATATATATATATATATCGATATAGACGTACCATTCTGTGCTGGTTGATGATGTGGGTGTTACCATCATAGAGTACCATATGTAAACGGCATAGAGTGTGACACGCATCACGGTTCGATTACTCGCTGTTATTTCTGTTACTGTGCAGCACGACTGCGATGAAGCGAACAAACGTGCGATATACACACTCATAAAAAGGAAGAAAAGGAGAATAAGAACGATAGATGATTATACTGTGGATATATATGTATGTATGCATGTGTGATGCGTATATACGCGAACAATCATTAGTGCCATTTTCTCATCTGACAAACATGTAGTCGTATCTACGTAAAAAGTATATAAGCATATATCGTTGTGTTGATGACGGTGAAATACGCTTAAACGAACCAACCAACAAGCGAACGAACGAATAAATGAAATGGAGGATGACATTTAGACACCTGTGTTTGTTCAAGATAATAAGGCCATTGATGATAGTATTCATCATTGTTGCGCTCGGCGAATTTAGTTTTATTCGTGTTTGTCTCATAAAGCAAACTAGTTGTTGAATACGTTCTCTGCTTGAATACTTTCATCATCACTACTCCTTTATTTTGACTTAAGTCATATTTATACTTACCTTCTTACCATCTTTTACTTTTACTCTTGTTTGTCTATGTCTCTACTCTCTTTTTTTCTCTCACTTTTTTGATAGATACAAAAACGGCACGCCGTGTGCGCCAACACTCACGTCGCTTTGTCTCGTTTCGTTTGTTCCGTTCTCGGCGCAGTTCGGTTTCGCTTTGCGCGCTTTTAATCTTTTTGCCCCTTCACCGTGTACGTCTCTGTGTATATGAGAGAGTATGTGTATGTGTTCGCTTTGCTTTGTGTATGTCAGCTATTGATTCTCTACAAACACACACACGCATGCGCGCTTGCGCACACACTCACACATATAGGCGGTGATGGGAAGAGGGGCACACTAAGGAGGTGGGTGGAAGAACGACACAGAGAGAGAGAGAGAAAGAAGATCACCTTATATATTGGCACACAAGATGACTGTTATGCTGTCTGCTTGATATATGACTGTTGGGGGCAAATGCATTCTCGCATTTCGTTCCATTCCGATGATGACAATGATGACGCCCTGTCGAGTGGCACTTCTATGTAGTTACGCCGACATGATTTTTTTTTTCTTCTATATCTATCATTTACTGGGTGTGTTGCTCTCTCTTTTTTTTTTCTTATCTATACAAGAACTACTATAGCTCTTATAGGTTTCTTTGCTATAATATAAATGTGTGTGCGTGTGTGTATGTGCATCTCCAGAGACCGTGAAAATGTGCCATGCATCACTGCAATAGATGGTCGATCGGTTGATCTAGTGCGTGTGTTTATATGTGCGTGTGTAAGTTCACCATAGGCACCAAATAAGAAGAGAGAAGAGAGTAAGAAAAAGAAAAAAGAGAGAGACTCATGCATGCATGAAAGCACGTCGTCGTCTTATCATCAATTCATCAATGCCACTAGTAGAACTCAGTTGAGTAAGAAGAGTAGAGTAGCGGCCGATCTAATGAGAAGCGTTTGTATTTTACGCTCGAACGATATACATTCGAAGCTTTACACCCACAAGCAATTCCATCTAAACATTGTAACAATCAACGATATTCATATCTATGACCATATGTATGTGCGTGCGTGTAGCACTATAGAATAAGGTAGATCAACGAAAGGCGACGAAGTATAATGATGACTAGTGTAATCACTTCCACTGTTCGGATGGATTACATGAATTTGATGAGCATCAACCAAGTGTATGCGTGTTACATTTTCACTCATTTCGATTAAAAAAAAATGTAGGTGTATGCAAAGAATATGATGATGATGATGACAGCAGAATCATGATCAGCATACTCCCCGAATGGCTTAATGAATGAATCAATTGTACTACATGCATCACGATAAAAATGACATACACGGAAGGTAATCATCAAGTATCGTGGTGCATATATTTTTTCTTTCTTTGATTTTATGTTTTTTTTTGTTATTTTGATTTCCTATGATGAATCAATTGATCATTTAAATCGTATATATTAAAAAAAAACTATATATATATGTATTTTGGATTTTAAAAGAAAAAGCTGTTAACGTGATATATGCGTTGTATGTGAATTCGAATCAAATAATATATTGCACTTCATGTTCATGATACTTTTTTTAATTAACACTTTTCTAAGATTTATAAGACACGATAAATTGCTAATAATAGATATGAGAATTTCTAAAATATAAAATTTTTTACTATTTTTCATAACACAATATAAATAATAATGTTAATTTGATAGATGTCGTAAAGAATCCATCAAAATCTACATGGAATGGATATATAAAATTACCAATCATGAAAAATACCAAGAAAAAAAAAAAAGACGAACCCGGAAAATTTCTTAATCTTCTTTAGAATATGTTGAAAAGATTATTTCAATATCAATCTATATGTTATTTTCATCATTTTACAGCTATACCACTTGATAATCGTTCTTTAATAAAAGTTCATGGTGATGATACATCAAAATTTTTACAAGGTCTTATTACAAATGATATAGAATTTTTAAAAAATACAAATGCTATTTATAGTATGTTACTTAATGCTCGTGGTAGAATTCTTTATGATATGATTATTTATAATTTTCATTTAAATCAATCATCATATTTAATTGAAATATCTCAAAATGCTGTACCAGATTTTATACGTCTTTTACGTACATATAAACTTCGTAAACAAATTAATATAGAAGATGTTACACAAATATATCGTATTTGGTCAATATTTTCATTTAAAAATGATTTTCTATTAAATAAAAAAGATCTTCATGATTGTTTATATTTAAAAACACGACAAGGTCTTATTGTAGGACAATCAGATCCACGACATCCTAGTCTTGGTATACGTTTAATAACTGAACGTGAAACTCAAATAAATGATCTTGCAGATTTTTGTCATGTATCAAATGATATAACAATATATAAACAATGGTTATATCAAAATGGTATTTCTGAAGGTATTGAAGATATGCCACCTGGTGAATGTATTCCACTTGAATATAATATTGTTTTTTTAAATGGTGTATCATTTAGTAAAGGTTGTTATATAGGACAAGAACTTGTTGCACGTACACATCATACAGGTGTTATACGAAAACGTTTAATGCCTGTTCAAATAAATAATTTTGAAGAATTATCAAAAAGTTTTAATCATAAAATAAATAATTTAACAATTATTAATGAAGAAACAAAACGACGTGCTGGAAAATTATGTGCAACAATAAAACAATATGGTATTGCATTAATACGTTTAAATGAATGGAAAAATAATTTACGTATACAAAATGCTGATGTACCTATTATACCTTCAATACCTAATTGGTGGCCACCACTTGATGAAGCAACAAAACTTGAAATGCAAACTGATAATATTCATTAAAAAAAAAAGAAAAGAGTTTCATCTAGTATATGTATTTATTTATCTGTTAGAACTTTGTATTAATTTGCTGTGTTTTGTATTTTTTAAATAAAATTATTCTTTTGTTTTGGTTATTCATCATCATCATCATCATTGGTAAAATTAGACTCAAAATATTGTTCATTAGTATTCATATCGGCATAGACGTTATTATCAAGTGTTGTTCGTTTATTGTTTAAATTTTCTTGTAACATACGTTTTCGACGACCTTTTTTTCGACGAACAACTAAATCACCAGTTTTTCGTACTAAAATTTCACAATGATCATTCATATCAATTGTTTGTCCAATATCTTTAAGTGTTTCAATAAGTGTACCCAAGTTTTCAGCAACCCATGTATTACCTACATAAGAAAAAATAAATCCTTTTTTTTTTTATATAAAATCAACACAGGTGGCGAAATCACAAGGCTTAGGTAGGCTAAAGTCTACCTTTGGTTAAAGTATCATAGGTTACGATAGACTTAAACATTTCTTTTTTTTCTCGTTCCATCAGATTAATAAATTTTTGTTGAGTGCCACATGTTCGAAAAAGTGAAAAAGAACTGTACAGGAAATTCGAGTTAAACTTTTCTTCGCCTTCAGTGGTTAAGCTTACATATCTAAGAAACATTTTCAACAAAACGAGCAAATGTACAATGTAATTCCTCTTTTCTGTAAAGATTATTGCTTCACTATTTTCATATTTTTCAGTAAACGTCTTTTGACACAAGTTGCAAATAAGAATCATTCACTAGCTATGATCTGAATGGTATGAAACAATACGTTCTGTCTATGATAGTTTCTAAGTGTTCTAATCACGAGACATATAAGAACATATATTTGACAGACACAAACGATCCATGTCGATCTATTATCTATTTACCTGATTTTCGAGCATAAATAATACCACCGGATGAAAATAATGTTTCCATTTCGGGTGTATAGACAATAGGTGTTGGAAAACATAGTGGTGGTGGTTCAGTTTTATTTGAATTGATGCCACAACTCATTGGTTTAGTATAGGGATATGTAGCAACAGTTGGAACTATCCCTATGGGACAACGAATTGGATTGGTTTGAATACAATGACCTTGTCCAATATTAGTACAACATGGTTGTTGTTGTTGTGGACATGGATTTCTTATCATATTATGTGAATAACAATTTGAATTCATAGCTGAAGAAATATTTGGTATTGTTTCATTCATATGATTGTTATTGTTTGGATATTGTGTTGTTGATACACTTTGAAATAAATAAGTGTTAATAGGTTTTGAAGGTTTTTTTGTTTTTGTATTATTCATATTTTGACAATTATTATAAAAATTAGTTGTAAAATTTATTAAATTTTCTGAAAGATGATTTAATTCTTCAATTAAATTTTGATTTAATGTACGTGTTTGATCAATTTTCATATATTCACCATTCTATTGAATATTTATACTATATATGAATATGATTTTCATTTCGTTTTGTTTTTTTCTTACTTTTAATTGTAGTAAAAGATTATAAAAATAATTATTCAATGTTCGAATATGTTTAATAATTAAACATAAATCTTGCCATTGTATATCATTTAATTGATCAATACAACATTGTATTGATCTCCATATTTGAACAGGATCAAGATTTAATATAATTTGATTTGTTCGATTTAAAAGAAATCCTTCAATAAATCTATTAATTAATATATCAAATAAACAAGCAAGTTGTTTAGCATAATCACTACGTAATTGAAATAATTCAAAAAAATTTTCATTAAAATTTTTCTTATTAAAAATTGTTTGAATATTAACTGTCAAATCTTGAATAAATTGTACTAATTTATTCGATATTGATTCAATCTCTTGATCGAACATGATGAAAATCAAAAACAAAAGACTAAAATCTAAATATTTTACCGCCTAATATCAATTAATTTAAATCGGAGAAAATTATATTTGAGAATACTATTAAAATATAAGTAATGATTGTTTTAGAAATTATGTTTGAAATAAAATATATGTTATATATTTTTATTTTTAGCGACTGATGTTAGATTCACCTAGGCTAATCTCGCATCAACTAAAATATTACATTAGAGCAAACGTTAACTATGATACATGAAACTTTTATTTTACAATGAAATACAATATCTAATCATGAGCAAACAACACAAACGAAGAGTAATTATATGTCGATGTATTTGTTCTCTTTGTTCACGCTCAATCAATATAGTAATTAGTTTTTATATTTTTTTCGAAGTTTACTTCAGATTCTCATGTACATAGCATTAAAATATTGATCGTATAAAAATTTCGTATTCTTCGTTCTTGAATAATACTCCTTGTTTAATTTGTTGCTGTTCTATGCAACTATTTGTGCTTTTATTGCTATAATAAATATCCTATTTGTTTTTTTTTATTCTAAATAACCGATTCTACGTACAAAAAAAAAATCACACACATACACACAAAAATATGACAATTGCAAATAGTAAAATTAATCATCATCATCATCATCATCATCGTCACTATCAAATGAACGACGGTGAGCAGCATTTAATGATCGAGCAGATAATTTCATAGTATCAGCTACATCATCATCTTCATCATCATAATTACTAATATTACGAGCTTTACTTTTTGATTCTTCAAAATCAGTTGAATAAATTTTTTCACCAGTTTTTGTACTTAATAATAGATCTTCATCCTCCTCCTCATCATCAATACTTAATTGATGTCGTAATGGTTGTTTACGTTCTTTTGATTTTGATGATATTGATGAATCAACATCACGACCAGAGAATTGTTCATTATCCTCATGAATTGAACTTGATTTTTTAACAACAATTGTTGGTTTAAGAATAATACCTTGTGGTGAATCAGACGGCGATGATGATAATGACGATGATGTTGATGATGATAATGACGATGATGTTGATGATGATAATCGATTTTGTGGTAGTTTTTGTTGTTCAAATGCTGTTGTTGTAAAACGACCTGTACCTTCCATAGGTGATTTTCGACGTGGAATATTTTCATTATCTTCTGAACGAGATATTTTACTATCAGTATTAATATCTTCTTCAAAACTTGATGTATATCGTTCATTTTGAGATGGTGGTGATATTGGTGAATGTTTTCGATCAATTTGTTGTAATGGACGTCGATATTGTTGTTGATAGTGATGTTTTTGTTCTTTTTCAACATCAGCTAATGATATTTCTCGACCAAGTAATTCATTTTCAACTAATTTTTGACTCAATTCAATAGTTAATACTTCAACTTCATTAACAACAGAAAGTAATGCTTCGTCAAGTAGAAATTCAGATAATCTAAATAATAATAGAATAAATTAATAGTATAAAACATGCATTTATATTTTTTTAATTAGTTGTCCCCATTGCCTTGAATAACAAAAACAAAAAAATAATTATGCATGTCTATAACGATAAAAATTTTTTATATATAGTCCAAGATATTAACCAACAGATATCAAAGAAAGAACAATTATGAATATTTCAACTAAAATTTTCAATCTTTCTGAAAAACTTTAACAATTGTGTAGTATATATTAAATGTTATAATTACTAACCTATTAATAACTTGACATGGATCAAAATCATCCTGTTTAGCTGATTCTGTTCTTTGTAAATAATTTCTAAAATCTTTTCGATAACGTTCAATTTGTCGTATTTTATTTGAATCTAAACCTTGTAATCGAATATAATCTCGAGATGAAGATTGTAGAATTTTTTTTTCAAATGCTTGTTTATTTTCATTTGATTTTGTTATAAAATCATCAAGTATATATTCATGATGTGGTCGATGTATCTGAACATTTTCTGGTAATATTGATTTTTCTATTGGATCAATTTGAAATTTAACTGTTCGTCGTGTTGTTGTTTCTTGTTCTAATCGATTTGTTTTATAATTTTGAATACGTTGTCGAATTTGTGACATATCATCTTCCCATGTAGAAATTTGTGTTTGATAAATATCAAGATTAGTACGACGAGCATGTTCTTCTGGTGTTTCAAAAACTTCAAAATTAGTTGTTGATGTAAGAATTTTTTTTTGTTCTTGTCTTGGCATTAACATTTGTATAACACGTCCAACTATTTCATCATCATTCAAACGATTATCAACAAGAAACATTGGAATTAATGTTCGTGCACGTTCAATTTGTTCAGATAATTCACGTCCAGTATAATTAGCAAGAAGACGTGGTGCTAATTTACCAAGAATATGATCAACAGTAAAACGTGAATAAAATGGTGTTTCAATTGTTGAAGCAGATTTTATTGATGGTAATGGTGAATGACTTCGTGCTCGAGTTTTATTTTGTATTGATATTGTTGAACGAGATATAGATGATTTATCAGTACGAGGTAATCGTACTGATTCAGCACTACGTGGACGTAATACTGATGGTATAACTCGTGGTTTTCGTTGTTGTTTCTTTTTAATTAATTCATTGTAAATTGCAGGTAAAAGTTGATTCGATGGTGATGCACGATTATCAGAAATTGGTCGTTGATTAATACTTTTTGATGAAGGATTATGAAAAAATAATGGATCAATACGTAATTGAAATAAATGAAGTACATCATTTGCATTTGTTAAAGTTTCAAGAACAGGAAGTATAGCAGTAAGAAGTTGTTGAATAGGTATATCTTGTGATTTAAGCGGAGCTTCATTTGCAAGAGTTTCAATAGCAAGTAAAATTGCTTTATAAGCATTTAAATGACGATGAATAAGTCGAGGCTAAAATATAAATAAAATGATCGAATAACACTGATATTAATTTTCAAAATAATCTATTCAACATAAAATATAGAAGATTTATAATCCGACGGAGAGTTTTGCAAAAAAACAAAAATCCTTATAAATATTTTTTGTCAAAGATCCTTGCAATATGAAGATATTCGTAAATTTTAAACATACTAAATTAGCATCTGATTGTTGAGCATCGTTAATTATTTGTTTAAGTTCTTGATGTGCATTATAAACAGCTCGTGAATCACGTTTTATTCTTTCACGTTTAAGTCTTATTCGTCGTTGTTTTTCTTGTTCAGTTTCATCAATAATATTTTCTCTTGTTGGTGGATTATGTAAAATACGTAATTGTACAAGAAGTTGTTCATGAATATCAGTTATTTCATTTTGTTTACCAATAGAAAGTGCAGCATATGGATCATTTGGACGAGTAATATGAATTGGTGTTGGTGTTCTTGGTGAACGATTTATTTCATTTCTATTATCTTTAAATATATATCAAGATGAAATTAGATTATTAATTAATATTAACTAACCTTTTTTAGATACAATAGATTTTTTTGGAACTGATTTTGAACGAGTTGATGGATTTTTTGAACGTTGTTGTGATTGTGATGAACGAATATTTCGTTGTTGAAATGTCGGTTGAATAGAATTTTTTTCATTCATTTGTTTTTTCCATTGATCTTCTTTAAGTTTACGTTTTGCTAAAAATTGATACATATTTAATTTATTTGTATCAATTGATTGAAGTTGAGGTGATGATGGCATTGTTGTATCAAATCGAGGAATAGTTTGTTGAAGAAAATGTGGTGCTCGACCAAAAGAAATCGGTGCAGGATGTGTTACATTAATAAGATTAAGAGGAGAAACAAATGCATTTTCATGAAATTGAAGATAATTTGGAGGTAAATTAGTATTTGATTGAGTTTGTTGATACATGATTAAATCTCTTATTAATAACCTTCTTCTTCTTTTGATTCAGAAGAAAAAAAAGATCATCATTGTTGTCTCGACGACGAACATTCAATGTCGAATAACAGAACTATTCAATAGAGGACGCCTCTAACAACAATGTCAAAATGAGATCGTATGTTATATCAAGACAAATTATTCTTTACAGGAAAAAAGTTTTGATCTAAACTTCATTAGAATATGAACCAATGATATATCTCAATAATTTTAAGGGCACTCTCAATTTTCTCAAGAATGACTTGACCAAAAATGTTGAAACTTACAGAATAGATTGATCTCGATTAGTAGAGCAAAAGTTGTCATAGACTCAGAATTCTTGAATGTCTTCGTCTATGAGATAAATGGAATGCAAGGGTAAAAATGAATTGAAGGTTCTTTCGCAAACAACCATAGTTCATTTTTTATGATTGAATTTATTCGTCACAACTAGGACCTAATTGAAGTGTAAATATTGTTTTCTGATATGCCAAAAAAAACTTCCTTTCTTTCATGATGCTGTTTAGATGGTATCTCAGTAAGAACACTTCTAGAATGTTTTTAATCATCCTAAGACTTACACGAAGACAAAAGATGAAGCTGAAAACTCGCATTTAGTTGAGATGAGATATTCGTGAGTTATTTCGTTCGAAAGATAGAATAGTATTTTTTAAATACAGAATCCAACTGATTATGGCACAACCTTTGTATTGATGAGATTAAAAACTCCAGACAAGAGATGGTATGGAAAACTTGAATTGAGTGCACCTTGAACAAATGATATCGTCCCTCCTAGCAAATAAAGCAATTTTCTCAATCGATAATCTGATACGATCCATTTCAAACGTAACACAGGAGGTTTCTTGAATACATTTCATAGCATAAGCCATGGCTTCTAATAACCTATCGTGTTCTAATAAAAATTAGAATGATATTATATTCAAAGAAAAAAATTCTGTCGGAAGCCATAATCTCTCTCAACATGTATTAGATCCAAAAATTTTTATCAATACATCTTGAGCTCAAATAAAAAACAATGACACGATTGATGTGATGATGAGGATCGTTGGATTATAACCGCTATTCAAACTGGTTTGTTGCAGATGTATCTCGAATGAGAATATTTCATAGTTCACTTGAAGATGTTG